CCAAATCTTGAGACCACTGCCAGAAATCTTCATCCGCCATCGCAACTGGATTTCGTGCTGATTTACTTCCGAACAGTTTGGGATTAAAAATTCGTGATGTTTCTCGGAATCCGAGCCAAAAAGCATGCGAGCTCATGCTATGCAAGCCCATGTGTTCACTATTGTGGTGGGTTCAACTAGTTTTCCATTTGAGTCACTGAAATATTAGAAAAAGTGATGCCGTAGCTACGAGCAGATGATGGCTAAGGGAACAGGGATCGATCTTTTTGTTTTGGAAGCCATTATTCCGTCTTATCAAATTTATTCCAAATAGAATTTTTCAAGCTTTGTGAAATTGAAAATTTTCGCTTGAGAATCATTTTGTTTTGTTTTTGGTTTTTAGCTTACAGCGTTTCCGACCTGATATAATTCTACGTATGCTGGATTTCGGGCAAAATATTTTGTCCGTATATTTGTAAGCAAACTTATGGTAATAATCATGTTTCGACTTTGTTCAGCTTTCGTGTTTTCATTTCGGAATAAAAACTTCGTTTCATTGACCCAGCTGTGTTTTCTATGCGTTGGAATTTTGAGGTTTTAAAATTTAGTTCACAAAAATCTTACGTGCACATTTTCAAAGCTTCGCCGACATCAGCTGTTTCCCCCACAAGCTTAAAACACTTGGCTGTTGAGGTCCCAGGCACATTCACGTAACCTTCACTGCAAATACCAACTAAACGCAGATCCATCAAACAAGTCAAATTGATAATCATCCAGTTGTAATTTTCAAAAATTTCCAAGCTCCGTTATTCGACAACCATTGGTATTGTTTTACAGTTCCAACCTTTTAAACTCCTTAATAACATACACTTTCACTAAGTATCTTTCGTTACCTTACCCGCACCGAAGTTTCAGGGGTAATAATCGATTATAATGGATTTTCGTTGACTAAAATGTTGTCTATGTAATCGATTATCATGTCAAATTTAGACCACGTAATCGATTTTTAATCGATTGTAATCGATTATTTTGGAAAAATTTAAATCCATTATAATCCATTATAATCGATTATAAACCGTTTTTATTTTCAATATAATGGATTATTTTTTGTACTTAAAATCCATGAAAATTGAATAAATTTAGTAAACAATTACTCTAATTTTTGCAACTTCCCGCAAAATTCGAACGAACACGTTCATCCAGGGGCGGCCAATATGTAGTAATATTCCAAAAAGTGCTCAAGAATAGCTTTTTTTGACTAGCTCCTCACGTCAAAAAAAAAGAAATTAAGCGAGAGAACAAAATAACTAATTTAACTTTGACAATATTATGAAAAAACGAAAACAACACACAAAAAGATTTGGATAATTAGATTATGATCCATTATAATCGATTAAGTTGGATGATTTTTCTTTTGATAAAATTTTTTGAGATTTTATTGATTAAAAAATATTATCATTATAATCCATTTTCAATCGATTATAATCAATTATTTTTGTTATTTTGTAGAGACTGACTATGAAAAGCCAATATAATCGATTATTATCTATGAAACTTCAGTGCGGGTATCTATTTAAAATTACAAAAGTTTCTATAACTTATCGTTTCTTATAGAAAGCCGTTTCTATAACTTATCGTTTTCATAACACCGTTTGAATCCAAAATGAAAATAAAATTTACTTCAGAGGGTACTTAGGTAAGCATCAAAGAATTCAACGAGCTTTTTTTGCCCTTTAAAGCGAAAAAAATGTGCGCTACTTAACCTGCGTTGGCTCGGACAGAAATGACCCTGCCAATAATTCAAAGTGTTTAAATGATCCGAACCATAACCAAAAATCTTTTCAGTGAATTTCAAAGACTCTCAATTAAATAAATATTTTTTGAATAGAACGGCGTATATTCTGGGAATTTTGAGCCGGTCTAGGAATTAAGTTTTTTAAAACTGTTGTACCGAAAACGCAAACGTTTATGGTTCATGAAGGCTCTCCAGCGACCAATCCCATTCTAGCATCCCGTCAAAGGGCGGTTGTCTTGAGATTAAATTGCTAGTGAACAAGTCAAATTCTTGCTTTTTTCGAGAGTCTGCAAGGAAACATTTTTTTCAAAACAAAAAGTATAACAGAATTATTGTTTTGAATTGTTTCATTTTGAATGCGGTATTTTTTCTTCGATGTGAGTTTATGGCGACTTGATAGATTGAAAAAAAATGTACGATGGCGTTCTTTGCGAGCTGTCCACTACTTTGCACATAATAGAATGGCTGCGCTAAATTAAGAGATTCTGCCAAAATACTATCTTTCAACAACAATTGTTGTCGACAAGGCCACTCATTGCCGCATCTTGCTGGTTCCAAAGAGAAGTTGAAAAAAAAATGATAGGGTTTGGCAGCATTTTTTCAAATTAGGCTGAATTGAAGTAGAGACACAGCTCGTTTTTTTTTGGGTAAAAAGCAGTTTTCCGCATACAATTTGATTTTCCTGAACGATCATATCATAGGATTTACACTATTTTTTTTCAAATACAAGGGAGGGGCCGCATTTTTGGGACCAAATGAATTCAACATTTGGTTTCAACACTTTTAGACACTTGAAAGTTTTTAAACCCAGTTTAATAATTTTTTAACAACCCATTAATTGTGCTCCAAGCAGTTTTTTTTTGGAACGACTGAAGAGTGCTAGCTAAATCAGTTCAGGCCTGCAAAAACCGATCGTACGTTTGTTTTGTTTTGTTTTGTCGGGAAGAAAGATGTCGGAAAGGGAAGAATCAATCTGATACAAGTAAGTGCGATACCAGATAGACTAACATGAATAGAATATAGCTGACCGAATTTTTTGGGAATGATTTTAAGGGTCATTTCGTCGTCTGACTAAGAAGCTGATATTTCTGACTTCTTAGCATTTCAGAGTCCCGTACAAAATGGTTCATTTTTGAGCCTTTCGCGCAACGGGGTTGCGCGCCATATTGCTGTGTGCCTTGAAATTTCGTGCAACCAGGTTCAATGTGCGATATTAACATCTAGCTGTTTGTGTGTGTGTGCAGCCGTACAAATCAGTTTTTAGTCAGTCGGGAGGTTATAACGAGTAGCCATACTAATTGTTACTGGCAAAACCGCAGTGACAACTGCAACAGCCCGTGTAACTGTCTTCGCAGCTCATTTAAGTGCTTATTGGCGTTTGGGGCATCTGATTTCCCTGGCGAAGTTTCATGATTATGCTCTTCACGCTTTTCGATCAAATCAAGATTTTGTGTTGAGGCAGATGCTCGATATTTATACGTTTGATATTTAGAGCAAATCAAACTTTATATAAATTTTTTTTCGCTAAGCAAAAAAACTTTATGCCCGAAGCTATGAAAATTAAGTATTTCCTACATAAAACGGTGACCACAAAAAAACGGTCAATCATGGTATGTTTTTGGTGTTTTTTTTTGCTTGCTTATGTCTAGAGTACAGCAGAAAATGACTGTCAGAGTTTTATATTTATCAGAAACCTAACATTACTTGTTTTGAATTAGCCCAGGCTTTTTTAGTAATCATATTGGTTCGGTACACATCAATTAAAAATCATTTTCGACTATATCGAACACGTTTTTCATTTAAGAAAACTCATTTTAATTGAGCTGAACCAATTTCATCTCTGTTATGAGTGCGTTTATGGCAGGATCAGTTCTGTTGTGATAAGAATTAAGATGAAATTAAACGATTTGAAGAACAGACATTTTAACTCCTATCTTATAATTTCACACAGAAAATTGAAGTTTTAGTCACAGCTCATCTTAATTCTTATCACAACAGAACTGATCCTGCCATAAACGCACTCATCACAGAGATGAAATTGGTTCAGCTCAATTAAAATGAGGTTTCATAAATGAAAATAAAATTGCAAAAATTTTGCGGCTTTTAATTTAGGAAATGAAAAGGCAAAAAATGTACGTTGTTAAATTGCTTGTTATTATTTTGTAGGACACCTCTTTTACAACACCCACTTGCTGCGCTCAGCCCTTAAAATTTTCTATCAATGCCTTGGCCCAACCAAGACTGGTTTTGGTATTTGATAGAAAGAGCTCGCGCCGTAAACATGCAATTGTTCATAGAAAATTTCGAAAGCGTGCTCAAAACAAGGTTTTTTTTCAAAAAGTTCAGGCCTGCAAAAACCGATCGTACGTTTGTTTTGTTTTGCCGGGAAGAAAGATGTCGGAAAGGTAAGAACCAATCTGATACAAGCTTGTGCGATAGCAGATAGACTAACATGAATAGAATATAGCTAATCGAATTTTTTAGGAGTGATTTTGAGGGTCATTTCATCGTCTGACCAAGTAGCTGATTTTTCTGACTTCTTAGCATTCCAGAGTCCCGTACAGAATGGTTCATTTTTGAGCCTTTCGCGCAACAGATTTGTGTGCCATTTTGCTGTGTGCCTTGAAATTTCGTGCAACCGGGTTGCGTGCAATATTAACATCTAGCTGTTTGTTTGTGTGTGCAGACGTACAAATCAGTTTTTAGTCAGTCGGAAGGCTAAAATGAGTAGCCATACTACTTGTTAATGACGAAGTCGCAGTGAAATCTGCAACAATCTGTGTAACTGTCTTCGCAGCTAATTTAAGTGCTTATTGACATTTCGGGCATCTGATTTCCCTGGTGAAGTTTCATGATTATGCTCTTCGCGCTTTTTGATCAAATCAAGATTTTCTGTTGTGGCAGATGCTCGATATTTATGTGTTCGATATTTAGAGATAAAGCAAAAAAATGTTATGTCCGACGCTATGAAAATTAAGTATTTCTTACATGAAACGGTGACCACAAAAAAATGCTCAATCATGGTATGTTTTTGGTGTGTTTTTGCTTGCTTATGACTAGAGTACAGCATAAAGTGACCGTCAGAGTTTTAGATTTATCAGAAACCTAACATCAATTTGTTTTGAATTAGCCCAGGTTTTTTTAGTAATCATATTGGTTCGTTACACATCAATTAAAAATCATTTTCGACTATATCGAACAAATTTTCTCATTTATGAAACCTCATTTTAATTAAGCTGAACCAATTTCATCTCTGTGATGAGTGCGTTAATGGCAGGATCAGTTCTGTGGTGATAAGAGTAAAGATGACGGGTGACCTGTGACTAAAACTTCAATTTTGGTGTGAAATTATAAGATAGTAGCTAACTTGTCTATGGTTCAAGACGTTAAAGTTCAAGTTTTTGCGGATTTAAAGTTTGGAAATGAAAAAGCAAAAAAAATGAACGTTGTTGAATTACTTGTTATTCTTTTGTAGGACACGTCTTTTACAACACCCACTTGCTTCACCTAGCCCTTTAAATTTTGTATCATTAACTTGGCCCAACCAAGACTGGTTTTGGTATTTGATAGAAAGAGCTCGCGCCGTAAACATGCAATTGTTCATAGAAATTTTCGAAAGCGTGCTCAAAACAAGGATTTTTTCAAAAAGTTCAGGCCTGCAAAAACCGATCGTACGTTTGTTTTGTTTTACCGGGAAGAAAGATGTCGGAAAGGGAAGAACCAATCTGATACAAGTAAGTGCGATACCAGATAGACTAACATGAATAGAATATAGCTGACCGAATTTTTTGGGAATGATTTTAAGGGTCATTTCGTCGTCTGACCTAGAAGCTGATATTTCTGACTTCTTAGCATTTCAGAGTCCCGTACAAAATGGTTCATTTTTGAGCGTTTTGCGCAACGGGGTTGCGTGCCATATTGCTGTGTGCCTTGAAATTTCGTGCAACCAGGTTCAATGTGCAATATTAACATCTAGCTGTTTGTGTGTGTGTGCAGCCGTACAAATCAGTTTTTAGTCAGTCGGGAGGTTATAACGACTAGCCATACTAATTGTTACTGGCAAAACCGCAGTGACAACTGCAACAGCCCGTGTAACTGTCTTCGCAGCTCATTTAAGTGCTTATTGACGTTTCGGGCATCTGATTTCCCTGGCGAAGTTTCATGATTATGCTCTTCGCGCTTTTCGATCAAATCAAGATTTTCTGTTGTGGCAGATGCTCGATATTTATGTGTTCGATATTTAGAGATAAAGCAATAAAATGTTATGTCCGACGCTATGAAAATTAAGTATTTCTTACATGAAACGGTGACCACAAAAAAACGCTCAATCATGGTATGTTTTTGGTGTGTTTTTGCTTGCTTATGACTAGAGTACAGCATAAAGTGACCGTCAGAGTTTTAGATTTATCAGAAACCTAACATCAATTTGTTTTGAATTAGCCCAGGTTTTTTTAGTAATCATATTGGTTCGTTACACATCAATTAAAAATCATTTTCGACTATATCGAACAAGTTTTCTCATTTATGAAACCTCATTTTAATTAAGCTGAACCAATTTCATCTCTGTGATGAGTGCGTTAATGGCAGGATCAGTTCTGTGGTGATAAGAGTTAAGATGACGGGTGACCTGTGACTAAAACTTCAATTTTGGTGTGAAATTATAAGATAGTAGCTAACTTGTCTATGGTTCAAGACGTTAAAGTTCAAGTTTTTGCGGATTTAAAGTTTGGAAATGAAAAAGCAAAAAAAATGAACGTTGTTGAATTGCTTGTTATTCTTTTGTAGGATACCTCTTTTACAGCACCCAGTTGCTTCACCTAGCCCTTAAAATTTTCTATCATTGCCTTGCCCAACAAAGACTGGTTTTGGTATTTGATAGAAAGAGCTCGCGCCGTAAATATGCAACTGTTATTAAAAACTTTCGAAAGCGTGCTCAAAACACGGATTTTCTTAAAAACTTGACAACTGCGCGAAGTTTTTTTTGCAAAGCACGAACTTATTGAGTTATAAAATACTTCTTTTTTCAAACTTCTGTGATTATAAAAGACACGGGAAGATTGCGATCAAAATATTATCGGACTAAAAAAAGTATACTGCATGTCAAACAAATTGTTTGTGATAGGCACATTTATTCAGAGATAACTTACTCTCACATAGAACAAACATTTCCCTTTCGTCGGTACAGTTATTCGTATAAGCAACACCCTCCTTCATTTTGGAGCAAAATTTATTGCTTTCCGGTTTGGATCGAGGTTCTTTTTCCGCCCACAGTTCAGCAGGGGCGCGCATTATATTATCTTCAGTGCTTCTAAACCAGTTTTTCATAATATCTCGTCGCTTCCCTGCTGAAGTTGGCAGCTCAGAAGGGTACGTCATTTTGTACCCCATCCATACTTTCTAATCAATCAGACATTAAAATATGAGCTAACGGGGAAAATGGAATTTGGAAACCACTTTTGAAAGTAAACGTTTTTTAAAATTTACGCGCTATTTGCACATTTGTTTTCAAAGACCATGATTTTTATCTTTTCATCAGCCAAAAATGTTGTAACGCCGAAAACAATTAGAGACCGCTAAGATAGCACAATCAAATATCAAAAAACGGCACAATAACAGATTTTTTAAACCATTTTACAATTAAAATTTTTTAAGGTTTTCCTGTACCTTTTGATCGTAACCCATGAAGAAGAGATCTCTATTTAGGTGCTGATTAACTAAAGCCATTTCTTCTCTGGATGTAGGTTTCCATAGCTGAGAACCCCTTTCTCTAAATACTTCAATTATGAATACTAAGATACTGATTGATAGAAAAACTGTTTAAAAATCTGTTAAAAAAGACTATAAATCTATAAGACAAAATTAAAAGTTGATTAAATTTATTATTATCTGAAATGCCTCATTTTGGGACTACTTAAGACAAAATTGTTCTTCAAATAAACCTATGAAAAAATCAATACTTGGAATCAAGCACTTTTTCAGGGTCTGAAAGTATCAGTTTTGATGGTAATTTTGCATAAATTTCAGTTTTTCATTGAAACTCTAGCGCTTTTAAACTACTAATTTTTTGTTTCGACTTTCGAAGAAAAACGAATATTTGTGTTTGGTGTGGGTTTAATATCCAGTCAATTTTTGGCCATCGAAATAATAGTTTTTAACAAAATTTTTTAAACCCCCTTAAAGACATCGACTTCCTGAGTTCAAATTTAAAATGATAGCTTAAAATGATATATTATTATTTTTTGTAAAGTAATGGCGGTTTGAAAATGGCCAAATTGGCCATGTTCTGGAG